AAAAAAAAAAAAAAAAAAAAAAAAAAAAAAAAAGAATATCGAATAGCCTACCTAGAAACAAATATTTGAATATCCGAATATTTGGATACCGAACCCCCCAACCGCTCCAGCGCCTGTCATGGGCAGCCCACTCTGACATCTCTCCACTCAGTGCATGTATAGTTCCAGCTTGTGCATGTGTGTCTTCGGACCTGTGTGTAATTGACAAACAGAGTGAAAAATTGAATTTCCCCTCGGGAATTAATAAAGTATATATAAAAATAAATAAATACTTCCTGTATCTGTTTCAAAATTAAAGGACAGAATCCACTCATTTTATAACAAGGCTTTTATTGTGAAACATAGACTTGCATGAGTCCCATAAGGTACTTTAAATGTAGCTACTGCCATCTTGTGGCCATTGGACATTACTACAAAATACAGTTTGTCTGGGACATTAAACACAAACAGATACCCAAAGTGACTGACATAGAACTACAACACTTAAATGAGTGAATCCAACAAATTTTGAAGACAGCATGATTGTCTGCTGGTCGCGACCCCATTATTTGAACTTTGAGCTGATATTTAGGCTTTTATTCGAATACCAGCTATTATTTGAGAAAAATACAGTACTTATTTACAAAAACTTGTTTTGTGCATAATGAATAATTTGATATTTTGGAGAATGCTTCACTTCCTTAAATGAGAAGACTGATATCACTCTCTTGTCTATTGCCAGAAAACAGCCAGCGTAGTTTAGCTGAAAGACTGGAAACAGGGGAAAACAGCTAGCCTAGCTCCGTCTAACCCAAACTGTAACAAAGGTGGGCGTATTTTGCTTTTAGTGGACAGAGTCAGGCTCACTGTTTCCCCCCATTTCCAGTCTCTGTGCTAAGCTAAGTTAATCCCCTGCTGGCTGTGGCTTGTAAAAAGACAAGTATAAAAGTGATATCAATTTTCTCATCCAAACATGCATGAAAACAAACTCTAATTTTTACTATCGACCCACTGTATTCTGAATAACTCGTGCTTTCTGAACAGTATAATATTCAGAGGTGAAACTTGCAGCTGCTCAGTTCTGACGTTGGTATTTGTGGTACTTTCCTAGTCAGGATCTGCTCGGTCACCCTGACCTTCAGAAAATGGATCCCATAAAAGAAGTTGACCTCTTGCTGCTCACAGAGTGGGTCGAAAAGGCAAAGGACAAACTGCTTGAGAATGTGCAGGTAAGAATACTGACTCTCTTCTGCTTGTACTTGGTCTTACAATTCAAAACCTTCATCATGTGAACAGATACTACACATTAATTCAGTCCTCTACCCCTTTTTTGACATATTCATTATGTGCCTTTGTGTAATGGAATCATGGGAACAGATTTATTCCCAGGAGCACAACATATCTCTGTGGTGACATTGTTCCTTGGTAACAGGTGTGTGTCTATTGGACCTCAACATGAAGGACATTATAAAACCGATAAACAGATAAATGACAATGACTGTGACCAAACAAAAGCCACAAAATTCAGCCTCTGGCCAAGTAAACACTAAGACGTTATGTCATAGTGACCAACCTGTATTTTTCTAATGTATTTTTGTCTCTTTTTTTTTTGACCTCTTCCACAGACAGAGGTCAGAGGTCAGCTGGAGAAAATCCTGCAGATTAAGAGAGGAAACGAAGCCGATGACGAACTTCATCTGGACACTATTTTGGTACGTAGGGCAGCAGAAGTTAAAGGAGTGTCTGTTGTTGAAACACTGAATATTTATCTGCTTTACTTTTCTTTATTTATTGGTCTGTTTATTTGCTGCATAATAATATTATTTCTTTTTTTTCTCTCTAAGTGCATCGAGGCCATGCCCAAAGAAGCACAAAAAATCAGCCCCAAACTGTCTGACCGTCTGCAGGAGGTTTGTTTCCAAGAGCTGCTTTTGTTTCTGAAGAGGTGAGATTAACTAAACAGATTTACATCCAGACTTTATGAACATTAACATCACCATTTAAAGTCGGAACTTTGCACGTTGAACACGTCATGTTTTCTCTGGTTTGTAGCTACTCTGCTACGCAGACTGAGAGACTTGGGGAAATGGCAAAAATGGACAACCCAGAGATGAAATGCTTCTTCCAGACTTTGAACAACTGTAAAAATCTCAAGTGAGTAACTGAGCGCTTCTGTCTCTTTGCTAGATATGAATTTAGTTCAACTTAAACTTGTTACTGTTCCTTAAAGACAAGGTTGATGTTTTGTAAGAAAAAACAAATATGATTATGATGATGATAAACGTTGAGTATATCTACATTATATTCATGATATTTCCTCTCAGGCTGCATGTCCAAAATAAAGGCACCCTTCTTGAGGAAGCTGTGGCAGTGCTTGAAAACCTGGAGGATTCCACAGTGAAACTTGTGATGGAAATCGTAGCTGACATCACAGAGGTAACTGTTCAACATAATCACAAATACGCTGTTTTCTTACATTTCTAAGGAGCCATATATTTCTGTTGAGAAACATGAAACTAACTTTGATGTTTTGTCACAGAGCCACCTGAAGAAATACTTCAAATCGGAGAACAAGGAATTCTTCCTCTTGATTGACGAAGTAAGGAATCATTTCTCCGAGTTTTCCTGCTTTCAGGACATACAAAAGGTAC